ACGAGTACACTTGCAAGGACTCTATTTACCACAAGGCCTCCTGGACACTGATACCCAGAGTCATTGTTAGCTTGGGATCTAATTGTTGAAGTTAAATCAGGGCTCGCCACATTCACAGTGAATCCGAGGCGCTAAGTTCTGGGCGTGCCTATCAGCACCAGCCAGTTCTTTTGGGCGCTGCATAATGGCTTTATCACTTCTGTTAAGTGTTTGTAATTGTGGGTGGAAGAGCATTACAAATTATTGTTGGCTTAAACCCACTGACAGAAGGATGTGTTCGCAATTACAGTTTTAAATTGGTTCCATTTCAGTACAATAACTCCATCTGTCAGGGCTGATTTATATTTCATTTGTTGTGAATATTTACTTTGAGAAGGAAATGTCCCTGAGAAACCTTATAAAGCCGTTGACTCATCCCAAATGAGTTTTCTTACTCTTTATCTTCTCTATTGTTTTTCTTGAGCACTTTTCTTTTCAAAGAAGAAGTGGAATAAATAATTGAATATGACCGCTGTAATACTGGTAAGGTTTTTTACTATCCTTTCTCCTATTTCTTATAGCTTTAATCTAGATCAGTGCTTACCATCTTGGGGCTCCAGACACCTCCAGAGGGCTCCACGGATACATTTGAGGGGTTCAAAAGTTATAAAAGGAATATGAAAGAAAAGCATATTTCTGTTGCACAAATCCTGCTGAGTCTCAAGATTTGTATTTGTTTGCATCTTCATGCTATGAACAATGGCAACGCTAACATGTTGATATTTAGCAGTAATGTTAATGTTCACGCAGGCTATCATTTTCTTATTTGCAGTGCATTCTCTGTACAGCTAAGGGTGATTAGATTTGCAGGTATTTGCTGATGAATTGGTTAAATTACAAAGCTTGACTTAATGTTGTTGCTAGAAGAAAGTGATAAACAAACGTTGTGCTGCCGTGGCTTTGACCCTTGTCCTCCTTATAATTGTGTATACTGTGGTAACATACTGTACTGCAGCAATGCGAGCATGTGCTGTAGGAACATAATCATTTATTTGTATGTGTGTTTCTCTATGAATCAAGACCATTCGCACGGACATTAGTGCAGTTTTCTTTTTTTGTGCGAGAGTGTGTGTGGGTCGAAGGACGTCAGGCAGATGGCCTTTTCTTCCTGTTGTTCTTCACGAGTGGGGGCCGTGTAGGTGTGGACAGGAATGTACAAGGACAGAGAAGTCTTTGACCAAGAGACAAGTTTCTGCTTATTAGGTCACCCATCTCTCCTCGAAACCCCCTCCCTCCCTCTATCCCCTCCCTGTTTGTTCCTTATATCCCTGAATGCCCGACTTTTCTCTGGATTCTCTACCAAGCCAATCACCAGACAGAGTAAATAATGTCAACTCTCAGTTACCCGATAGTGACAGGTTTAACAGTGTGAGGCTGAGACTGGAATCGAAACGCCACACCAAGACTGCACTTTTAAGGTAGGCACTGCACATGGAGAGAGAACTGCATTCATCTGCAGAGCTCCAGTAATGAGAGTAGATCCCGACTATCTCTCTGCTTCTCAGGGATATCTCAGCTGCAGTCTTGATTCCTTCAGATTCATATCAATGTGTAGACATGGTGTGGTTGCACAGTGGCTTAGATCCTCTGGTGCTTTATCTGCACGGTTAAACTGCCTTTACTCTTTTGCTTTTAAATCCAGCAAAGCGTTGTGTGCTATCTTTTATAATCTTCAACTACTTTGATTTAAAACTCACATATTGTCCGGGAAATGTCCTTCCAGGTTGCCTTGAGTTGTCAAAAAGAGACAGATGTTCTGTGTGCACTGTGTGTATAATTTTAGTCCATTTTTTTTAGAAGTGTCAAGCTTTGATTTCTGTAGTCGTGAGCACATAGAGGTGAGAGCTGTAGCCATAGCAGCAAGCAAGACGAATATTGTCTGTGTCACTTTGTGGCATGTCAGTGAAATCTCTGCTGGTTTTTCTGCATCGTTGAAAAACATGCAGCACATGCGCTTGACTGGCCGATGCCACATCCGATCAAGGCCGTAAATAATGCATGTTTAAAGCTTCACTCATGGTTTTGAAGTTTAAAGCGGGAGACAGAGCGACCTGAAGTGTTGCTCTGCGGGCTGGTACGTGCATGATGCAGAGGTGTGCCAACAAAGCGGGGATAATTGAAACGTGTGCATAACATGATTGTTGTGGACATCATTTCCCTATTGTGCTGCCTTCTAATGTTTCTTGCAGTGAAGAAATGTGAACTGATTATTTTTTTCAATATTTAAACAGGTTTATAAATACATTCCACCAGGTGCGATGGTGAATGAGTTTGTCTTTATATCGAACCCTTGTTGCTATCTGAGGCAAAGTTGAAGAGGAAGAGGAGCGATTTGATGTCGCCGACAGCGCTGTCTGTCACTCGGTTCCCTTTTCCACAAACAAACCTCTCAGAGCTATCTTTCACCCGCGGGGTATCCTCTTGGTGTTGGCAGTGATGTGGTTGATGGCTGTCATTGTTCAACTCCATTTCACATCTTAAAGAGGCAGCTTTCCAAAGCAAACAAACAATCAAGCTGCCACTCTCCTCTTAAACATCCCTCTGTCATGTCGAGCCTCTTCTAACTTGTTTCAATGTTTTATTCACTAACACAGCAGTGAAGTGAATCAAATGTGTACACAGATATGAAGGCGTTTAGGATATTATTTTTAGAAGTTTAGAAGCAGGTTATTTCAGCTCAAGTGAGGTCCTGGAAGTGGAAGAGTTTGCTCTTATTACCAGCGAAGGGGATTCAGACGGTGAGAGCAGGAGAGATGAGCTGATTAAGACTAACCCATACTAACAGGGGCTGTCTGAGGGAGAAAAGGGAGGGAAGGAAGCAGAGAGATAAAAGGAGACAGGTGAGGAAGAGATGGTGGTGATTTCAGGTGAGGTGGTCTGTAGAACAAATTAAAAAAAGTAGAGAGAAGAATGGATGTGTTCAGACAAGGAGGAGGCGTGAAAAGAGAGAGGATGCAGATAAGGAAAGGAGAGCAAGTCTTTCCCTCTGTCTCACTAGGGGATTCGTTCACTCAAACGTTGACACTGCAACAAACGCTTTCCTGGTTCATTTCGGGCTCAATTTGTTTTAGACAAACCACCTGAGCTCGGTAGAGAAGCACTTAAAGGTAAGCAGTGAGTGAGTTAACCCTTTCATGGTACCACCCTTTGGAAGATCTTCATTTGGAAGGGCTTTCTTAACTTCTTTTGGCACTAACAGCTAATAATTATCATTATTTTTAACAGACTATGCTGGTTTTTTATTATGATCCACCCTCAAATGGTAGATATTTTTATTTACTGTACAGCCAAAGTACACAACACATTATTAGACATATCATAAGCATACGGGATGCTATAATTGATTCTTGTCTTTAATGATTTTCCTTGTTATCATTTTCCTGATTCATCAAATAAGTCTCTAAAACTTAAACAAAGAAAAGTGTGGAAAATATTTTAGTTTTTCACAACAAACAGTCTAAATGTATTTAGTTATACTAATCACAAGGTATTTTCTTCAAGACATCACATTACATGATAAAGGGGTTGTGTCTTGATGACTTAATACCCAATTGAGTCTAGTATGTGTGTGTGTGTGTGTGTGTGTGTGTGTGTGTGTGTGTGTGTGTGTGTGTGTGTGTGTGTGTGTGTGTGTGTGTGTGTGTGTGTGTGTGTGTGTGTGTGTAATAACTACGTCTGAAAGCTGAAGTCTAGGGCAAATCATTGAAAGCAAATATTCAACAATTGTATTGTATATTATATTCTTTGCAAGCTCTTGCGGGCCACATAAAATGAGGTCGCGGGCCGGATTTGGCCCCCGGGCCTTGAGTTTGACACCCCTGCCTGTTGATGGATGGTTGCTCCTATACAGGTTATAGGTTGAGTCCTTCAGCATGGAAGAATCAGATTGACCAGTTTAAAAAGCAACATGATACAAGCTCACTGAAAGCTCCTGTTATATTGTGTGTGTGTCGAGAGGCCCAGTTGTTGTCGACGTAAAGGTTGTGAAATGAACAGAAAAGACAGAAAGCCTCTGGATGCCCTGTGACAAAACACAAGATTTATCTTGACCTGTGAAAGGTAAAAGCTTCTTCTGCCACTCGTTATGCTGTTTGTGTATGTACAGTATGTGTGTGCTTGTCTGTGTGTGTGTTTGTGTATGTATGTGTGTGCTTGTCTGTGTGTGTGTGTTTGTGTATGCCTCCTTGATTTGTTTGTCCATCAGGGGGATTGCACCTCTTCAAATGTAGCCTCCCGTGCCCCTCACTCTAAAAGTCTGTGAGAAAAGAGGCTTTTTGTCTGTGTTTTTTTCCTTGAGTTTAATGGAACGGAATAATGGGATGAAACTGCTGTTGTCTCATGGTTTTCAATCTTCTACACACGGGACACAGTTATTCAATTTGACTCTTTCTTCCCTAACTATAAATCAGATAAATGGCACCTTTCATTACGTTTTAACCAACATTTTCAGATTTGTTTTGACCTATTGTTGGCAGCAGAAACTAGCTTTACACAAAACATCACACTATGTCACCTCAAGGTTCATATTGTAACCTTATAATCAACAAGCTGGTTATTTATTTACCCAGCAGGCAATGGGGCAACATTATCTTCCTTTTTAAGTCTTGTTTCTGTTCATTGCTTTCAGAACATGAGGGACGTAAGGGGCTGTGTTGGTGGATATATAGTAAATGTAAAATAGTTGATACTTTAATATGAAATATGATTTGACTGGTCTGTTAAATCACTGAAGCCACCATTTCATCTTTGGCTTGACCATTGCAAAATAAATAGTAGACGGTCTGCGTTTTATACCCTTCTCATCCATTGTGTGTTGAGGATTCATCAAAGCCAGAAATATTCTCATTCTATCCTCATCGGCTTTATATATCAGATCAAAATATTAATTATTAATCAAAAGAGAAGAAAATCATTTGCCTGTAATACTCACCTGACTGTATCCTGCTCTTTCTTCTCTTCAGCTGCGGGGCGGCCCTCGTGGCCAGGATGCCACTGTGTGCCGTGCCAGTCCACAGCGGACGGTGAGGGGCCGGAGGAGGGGACGGAGTGCAGGAGATTGAAGGGAGGCGGCCCGCACCAAATGGGAGAGATGAACCTCTGCTGGAACGAGATCAAACGCAAGTCCCACAACATCCGGTAAGAGGACTTAGTGGTGCTAACTGCAACATGCTGGATAATGGGATGTTTCCATAGCCAAGATGTTGAAAAACCTCTGAGAGACAAAGGGGCTGCATTTGGAAACATCAGTGGATATAGTCAGTTTCTGTGAGAACAACAGCTGCCAACCGCTGACTGTATTTCTCCCTTGTTGGCTGTCTCAAAAGATTTCTTATATGACTCAATCAGGATGCAGATCATTTCCCCAACATCTGATCAGTTCAGCTTTATTTGTTAGCCAGCAGCTATCCGTCTCTTTCTTTTTCCAAATACAATCTGGTTTGCTGAGATTCACTGAGCTGAATAACTCCAAGCATTTTGGTGAAACAAAAAATCAAAAGACAAAACAACTTCCCGTTGCCAAATTTGGAAACAAATCGTTCTTTATAACTCAGTGGCTGTGAATTAGCCACACACCCAGTTTGTGTACAGATGAGTGATGATGACTTTTGGCTGGGCACAGTTTTTATTTTATATATCCCAGAGAATTACTTTTTTATGCTTGAATATGAAGTGAGGTTGTGGCCGTTTTCCTTTTGGCAATCCATTTGTTGGAAGCATAGATTGGAAGATATTATTGATACTGTATATGTGTGCGTTCAAAAGAAACAAAGCCTACATCTTTATTCTCTTTGTTTTGTTTGTTTTCGATTGCCCTCCAACAAATCTTCTTGTGTCCATTTACAGTCAGTTTTCAGGCAATTCAAAATGTATCGTCTAAGAATGTACTGTCAAACAAGTGTGCATATTTCAGTACCCCTTCCAGTCAGCTCAATAATTATAATATGAGTTAATGCTGCCATCACACAAGGTACACTCGAGAGGTTTGCCACTGCAAAACAATTAGAGGGCGGTTATGTTGTTCTTAATCGCAAACTGTCCAGGCTTGCTGCATCATTTCTGTTTCTTCCATGCTGTTTAGACAATCGCCCTCTTAATTGCTTACTTGACCCTGATGTATCTCAGATGAGGGAAGGGGAGGTTAAGGAAGGATAGTCGTGAAATTGGTTAAGACAGTTCCCCCTGCAGTCACGGGTAATGAGATCACTATAGATGGCCTGCAGTGGCTGTTTATACTAGAGCTGCACTCTGACTTCATCAGGCTGAGAGAGAATGGGAGGAATAAAAGGAAGGAGTCGATGGCGAGAGAGCGAGAGCAGACAGCTGGTATTAAATCATCACATTGGAGAGATGGGATGCGGGGACATGGGAGGAGCAGAGAACAAGAAGAATATAAGAAGGAATGAATGAGAAAGAGCTTCACCGAAAAGCTGTCTAACCTTGAGGGGGAGAGCTGTCCAGAGGAAACGTCTGACGGTATTTAATGCCAGCGGCTGGACAAGTGTAGACGACTGGCTTTATAACGGCCTGTCTGGCATTGATTGACAGGTGGCTGAGGCTCTGCTCACAAGTCCCGACTACTTTCTTCTATCCTTTAAACTGTCCTGCATTATACCCTACAGTATTCTGTATCTGGATTTATATGCAACCTCCTTTGTGGTGTGTTCATTTCTTTCCAATCTGCAGCCATGCTTGCATTTCAGTGAGACTGCACTCAGGCACAAAGCTGCTTTGAGCTCAATGGGGACATGCTCACAATGCTAATACGCTAACATGCTGATGCTATGCAGGTTCACAATTTTCCATATCTTAATAAAGCGTTGTGCCATGCTAATGGTTGCAATTCAATTCTAAAGACAAAGCGCAGCCAAGGATGGTTGGGATGTCATTAGCTTTGCCGAATATTGACTAAAGTGAGGACAATTCACTGTGACGGTAACATCGATGGAGGATTCATGAATGTTTGCACCACATAATGTGTCAATTAGATCAACATTTGATTGATTGGATAAGTGAAAACCTTTGGTTTGTAGGGACAACGTCAATGCATCTCTAAAGGCAGCAGGATTAATCCACTGGCGACCATACATATCTGTGCAAAACCGAGGCAATCCATCCAATAGTTGTTGAAATATTTCAGCCTCGACCAAATTTGTGAACTGGCCGACTGTACCATGCCTAAAGTTGCGCCTCCAGCGTGGCTCAAGATGAATCACATCTCCAAATTGTGGCGCTGATGTGAAAGCACCCAATTTTGAAAACACCCTGAAAGTGTTACAAATTAAGATAAGGAGTAAACAGCGCACAACATGCATTATCTAAATGTGTACAGGCAGTGGCAGAGAGAATTTATCAGCGTGACACAGTGTCGCTCAGCTAATTGGACTCCGCGCTGATAACAGAAGGTTACAGGACTTGATCACTTTTTTGGCATCTTTTATGGAAAGTAGGCAAATCCATTACACTTTTAACTTTTGCCCACACTCAGCAGCTGCCTAGCATGTGTTATCAAATTCAGAACTGTGCTTTAATGCCATTGGCAAAAAATATAGACATGCTGTTCGTATTGCTTTGGACTATATAGTGTATAGTGTAGTTTCAATTTGTATGCAGGATTGAGATAATAGCACCAAACAAGTGGACCGCAACACTGTTTTGCACTCTGTCTATCATAATCACAGCTGAATGATTTTGAAAATATATAAAAGAGACATTTGTATCTGCAGGCATATTGCTGAGGCCATGCAGCCATCTGTAACTATTGTGTAAGAAAATAATGTACAGTGTGAGAGCGTGGGAGGTTTAAGTGATTTTATGTTAATGACTTGGTAGAGAAAACTTCTTATTTTTGTGGTTTCCTAATTCACTAAATGGACAATCAGGGAATTATTTAGCTTTCCTTCTTTATCACTTTGAGTTTGAGTACATTTAGCTTTAGTTTACATTTGCAAAAGAAGAAAATGAAGCTTATGAAATCTTCCTCCATCAGTCAAGCTCAGCTAACTTGCTGCTAGCTGTAGCTTTGTATTTAAAACACACAGTGGTATTGACAACGGTTTGGAAACTGGAAGAATATATATTTGCCATTAGTGATAGGTACTAACCAAGATGTTTTGTTTTGTTTCTGTCAAGTTTAAATGAAGTCCACGACAGTTCAAACACACTCCCAAATGCCCCCGCTGTGGAATGAAGGATATCTGATTCAGACACACACACTTCCACCATTATAATTTCACCCGTTAGTGGTGTTACAGCTGGAACATTTTAACGTATGAGCCAACCCTAAAATCAATTTTCTCATCTCAAAAAGATACGAGTAAGCATATTTCCCGAAAATGTTAATTTATTTCTTTACCATCAGCTCAATGAGATCCTCCCCAGTTTGTTTTAGTAGCTCATATCCTGCTCAGAGTGTTATAGAGTTAATGGTCTGATCAGGCCGTATTTCCTCTGAAACCAGTGGACATTTGCATACTACGACAGTCAAACAGACACGACAGCTTGTTGCTGAATCATCACCAATCTCTGTAGTAGTGGCACAGAGTGAGTACTCAATTAGAAGCATGACTCCTTCAATTATATTTCTCATGTAACTTATATTACAGTGTCTAACACAGGAGTAACAATCAGGCATTGTTGAGATTGGGGTTGTTCCACATGGGGAGGTGCCCACAGTTTTGCACTGCAGGGAATGCCCACTGAGGATGGTGTGGGTGTTTCAGTGGCATGTGGAATTTATTTGCCGCATGGCTGGGATAACTGCAGAGTGCCAACCACCCACTGTCAGCGTCTGTCCGAGGTCAAAGGAAAACCTCTGAGTCGGTTTTCTTCTCTGTCTGTTTTTGTCATTACAACAATGTTTTCCATCTCTATTCACAAATAGAGATTTAAACAATCCTCATTCAAGGTCTCTTTTATTCTCCTCTTTTATTCTTTATCTTCCATCTTTTCTCTTTTTGTCTGCTGTTTCTTATCCAACCTCCACTTCCTATTCTTCTTCTTCCCTTGCCAGCACCCCTCACAGGAAGCCCAGTCTTTGTGTAATACCCCTCGGTGGTTCTCTGCTCCACTTTGCCTTCAGTGCTTTCAGGCTAAGTTACAGTACAATGCCTGCAGAACTTATTGAGCTCCAATTACATTCAAATGATAATTATATTGTTCACAGTCGGGGGTAAAATCCTAGTGAAGCTAGGAGGGTAAGTGATGAGAGGGCAGGTGTGTGTAGGTGTGACACACACACACGTGTTCACACATAATCGTGTGTGTGTTTGGCCCATCGTTCATTCAGTGGCTTGATGGATTTTGCTTTCACTGCTGCCTGATGATAATTTGGGGATTAAGTTGTTTATTTCAGGAAAAGAAAAAGGCAGCATTTTCCCAGGACACCATAAACATATTTGCTCAGTATTCTCACAGCATTACTGAATACTGTAAAGCTGATGGAAATATCTTTTTATTTAAGGATACCCATTAGAAGCACATGGGAGTGTCTGTAGTCTCTCTGGGGTCTTGAGCATAGAAATGCAACAGAGACATAATACAGAAAACTTAAACAAATACACAAATGAGTAGAACAAACTTGGCAGTACAATAACACATAAAGGCTGCTGTTGTTTCCTAAATGAGACCCACATTTCAAGCTTTTGATTTTCTCATCTTAAATGCCATTTGTTAATGACATTTTTGACGTCTTACTCAATTATTTCAGCCTTGTAATAATTACTTCAAGCCTTTAACTAATTTGCTTTTCATCCAGAGACATCATTTGTATCACACTGAGTAAAAGAAAAAGGAAATAAGATATTGATAGAGAAGACCTGTGTGAAAGACTTCAACACACTTTATTACGCTTTATTTGATCAGACAAACCAATTGAGAATTAGGAGCCACATGAATAATTGAATCAATTGCCACTTTGTTTGTTTTTGCGCTTCAATTACAACAAATGTGAAGCTGTGAGGGGATCTTTGTCGGCATACTGATCATCTGGTGCACGACAAATCAGAGGTGGTCTTGGATAAGAGACCATGTTGGATTGTTTTGGACTGCTACAGTGTCTCTTTGAGTATTAGGAGAAGTAGTCAGGTTCTGTGCACACATTGTAACCAGGCGTGCATTAATGGATCAAATCAAATCCC